CTTAAAGATTTCAGCCTGAGAAAGTGGGCTTATGACAATCCAGACAACCCAGTCACAAAGCATTGTTAGGAAAAGGAATCAATAGCATAGGCCAGATGCCATCAAAATACACATAAACTAATTCCAAGGCTGAAGCCAGAAAAATTTTGAACCAGAAGCCTTGGTCTGAATCCCTGCCTTACCTTCTGCAGTTCCCCATGTCTGATCTTGATTCTGACTTTTAGTCTGAACACACTTACATCATCAAATAGGAAAGAAAGCTAAATCAGTGACACACAGAAGCATTCTAGATGCATGCAAACACATCCAAGCTGCGAAGTGCCTGCTGGTCTCCAGAAAACACAAGTGGGTGCTATTTAAACCAGCACCAATGACTAGTGATATGGCCAACTGTCCACTCCATATCAAATACAGGAGAAAATGAGAACAGGCAGAAACCAAGTAAGCATGGTGTCCACTGCAAGACAGAGATGACAAGATTAAAAAGCCACCCTGCAAAAACTGAGCTACTAGCTTTGGGGGACAGAAAGCAATGGTGAGGTAAACATGAATAGATACAAGTTACATTAGCATAGACATCTGAACTGTACTGCTGTATCTACAACCTTCCATCTGTCCCGTGCACTAAGCACATTCAACAGAAAAGGACTGGGAAGAGTTCAGTCTACAGAGCACAGATACGTACCTCCTGCCTCAGCCTGAATCTGTCCTTTGATATAATTAGCAGAGAAAACAGGCTGCTCAATAGAGCACCCTTTCACCAAATAAAATGGCATCATAAAAGACAGCATGGGATCCTTGCCCTTTGACACGAAGATCATCTGCAAGACAGGAAGGAACACTCTGGAATTAGTTAATCAGGTTATGGAGTTCTAGTTGCAGCAGCATCCAAAAAAAAAAAGATAATTTAACCCCTACTACCAGAACGTACTATGTTGTTTCACAGTGGTCATGCAATGGAATGCCAAACAGATCCGATGTTCAAATGAACAACGCAGGTTCCAAAACAACATACTGTTTAGGGCACACACAGACATTTCGTTTTATTGTTTTCATTTTTAAGGATAATTTATGAGAGTTTTCCAATGAAGTAATTACCTATTAACACATTACATTAAATCACAACATGGTGATTGAGACAGACACAGACTCAGACTGCCCTATTTCCATCAGGCTTTCTCCTACCTAGGACTTACAGTGGTTCCTCCCATAACAAAAATCATTTCTCCTGCCTCCAGCTATGTTTGCTGTCCAAAGCCTATGAGACCCCTAGAGAAAAGGGAAGCCCTGTTGGCATCAGACTTACCCTGTATGGGGTGAGATACAGCATTCCCTTCTTGGTGCCTTTGAAGGCTTCAGGCTTGCCCGTCACGTCACTGAAGGAGAGCTCCACATCTTTACACTGCTTGAGAATGCTACAGGAGGAAATCAGATTAGTTGGAGACAACCTCAGCTCTAATGCACAATCCATCACACAAATCCTAAACATTATCCCAACACACTCAATTCTAACACAGGGTCTGGAGTTTTTCTTTTGGATACACAGGGTTAACTCATGCAGAGTGGAAGAATTCATCCTCTCACCTTTGACAAGCCCTGTTCCTCCTCCACAAAGGGAAACTTTAAACAAGAGGAAGAGAAGCTGCCTCCAGAACCACAAGGCTAAAGGAATTGCTCTCTTTGCATGGCAACAGCCTGAGTCTGAGCCTGGCAGGGTACAGAACAGGATGAGCTTTCTGATACCCACTCCTGAAGTCAAGGTATGACCTCAGAGCAAACCCCTCTCCATGTCCACATTTGGGACTGGCCAGCAGAAGGGAAAACAAAGTTGCCTGAATGCCACACCCACTGTGTGAGTTGTGGAAATTGCTTCACAGTATCCTCACTGCTGACCTTACTTCACATGATTTAAGCAAATATTTGTGATGAGGAGTGCTGTGCTAAGGAAAAAAAAAAAATAACAAGGAGCCACAAATGTCAGCAATAAGACTGTTATTGCTATTGCTGGTTATCTACAGGAACATTAGCAGACTCTGCTAATGAAATCATGCAGGAACAAAGAGATGGGAACTGCAAACACCAGGGGTATGGAGGGGCCTGAAAAATTAAATACATTTTTAGGAAAACTGAAATAATCATTCTGGGAAAGAGCATCACTGAACTGAGATGGTGAATTCTAAACATAGCACTCAGTAAGGAAAGCTGCACAATAAACAGAACCTTGGATGCCACAAGTTTGCTGCGTGTTTCAGTGGATAAAAAATCAGACGTGTTTTTTTGGTTCAAGGGCATAGAAAAAGGAAAAACAAAACCCTAATTCAATACTGGATCTAAAGTTATTTTACATATTCCGATCAGTATATCATAGAAATCAGATCACTTCAGGAAACTACAAAATCATTGGGAAGAACCAGCAGGTCCAGGATACATGAAAACAACCAAGAGCACAGTACTTTCACACTGCATGCTATTTAGGGAAGAGAAAACATAACATATATCTGAAAAATTCTGCTACTCTGGAAGGAAGACATCAAGACGTTAAGCTTTAAATGGGGGGGGGAGGGGAGGGACAGGAAAAGTCCTGACAAAAAGTCTGCAGGGACTTTATCATTTAGTTATATGCAGATTTCATCACTGCCCAGGAGTGACAAACGCAGCAGAGATCTTTCTATTTTCAAGTTACAAAGGTGAAATATTCTCCCAAGATAAGCAAAACTATCCCCTCAACGCTCAGAACCTTACCAGAGTACTTTCCAAACCACATAATGCAGCAGAATTTCAGGTTTGTTTGCTTCAGTGGGAAGAACTTATGTGGTCACTTAATGCTTACTCCTGCCCAGGCATCACATAAACAAAAAGCAAGACTGCCATCCGGGTGTGATTATGCTGCTGAGCTGGTTTGCACCCACTTGGGGCTGTCACAGGACAGTTGAGCGCCAGTGGCTCAACACTGCCTTGGAGAACAGTTTGGGCTCTGAGACCTGAGCTCCACATGGCCTGGCTCCATGCTGGACCACTCAAAAATCAGACCGTATGTCTGACAGCATGGACCAGATGCCCCGTGTACACTGGCAGCTTGGGGCCGTGCCCACCGCCCTCTGGAGCAGTCCCTAACCCCCAGCTGCCCTTCCCTGACACAACTCCATGCCGTTCCCTCGGGCCCTGTCGCTGTCACACAGAGCACAGCTCAGCGCTGCCCCTCCGCTCCCTGTGAGGAGCTGCAGCCGCCATCAGGCCTCCCCTCAGCTCCTCTGCTCTGAGCCAACCAGGGGAGCTCAGCCGCTCTTCACACGCCCTGCCCTCCAGACCCTTCGCCACTTTTACACCCCTCTTCGGAGACCTCAAACACCTTTACGCCGCCCCTTAACCCGAGCAGCACGAGGCGCAGGCTGTGACTAACACAGCCGGGCAGCCCTGCCTACCCACGCCAAGGCGCGGCCCCAACGCCCCCAGAGCAGCCCAGCAACAACCCGAACCCTTCTCCCGCCCGCGGGCCCGGCACAGGGCTTCCCCCGTGGCCGTGGAGCCGCCCCACGGGTACCTCTCGGCATTGGGGACGACGACACCGCCTTCCTTCGAGTGGTGCCTATTGAGCGCCATGGCTGCCGCTGCTTCCGCCGCCTGACCCCCGTGTGACGTCACATCCGGGTGCTGCTTCCGCCGCATATTCTATGTGACGTCACATCCGGCCGCTGTGGAAGGCGTGGTGTTTTTCTCTGCTCCCTGCTTGCCTTCGTGGACCTGCTTGTTGTGGGGTTTTTCGTGTGTTTTTATGCTTTTTTTTTTTTTTTTTTTTTTTTTTTCCTTCTAGAGAGTGGAGCCCTTGTCAAGGAGCCCACGGGCCTCTGTTGGCCTTGAATAGGCCCGACTCGTGAGTCAGGGTCTGTGTGTTTCTGCAGGCACCTGCCCACGCGCCCTGTGCTGCCCCACTCGAGGAGGTTGTGTCTGTGTGGGTTTGCGGTGGCATTGAAGGACACCAAGCTTGCTTTTCTCAGCAGGCCTTTATGCATCCCTTAGAAACAGTTCACTGTAGGAAATTACAGAGCAGAGCATCAAAACAACTTCATTACAACCAACCCCCTCCAGAATCTTACACATACAGAGCAAACTGTGTGGCCTTCATCCCACAGCCCAAGGTTTGGGCATGGAAGCCCTTCCAGCTTTGCTGCCATTAGTGCCAGCTCTATGCCATGCCCTGGCTGGGCCTGGCATCATGGCGTGGCCACACGGGGACATCTCTTGTCTGGTGACCATCGCGCTCCGGTGATACATTGAGGAGAGCTGAAGTGGCTGGCTGGTGGCATGAGCTGGAAGGCTCCTACCCCATGACAGCCGATGTGTATGTAGCAGCGTCACCTCTGCAAGGTCTGTGTGATGGCTGCAGACAGCAGTGAGGAGCAAAGTTCTTGTCAAGGCTGAAGAAGCCTGGTGCTGAGGTGGGATGGCAGGTAAGAGGCTGCGTGAAGTGCTGAAAGCTATGAATGTGGTGGGGGAAAAAATGAGAAAGGTGGGGAGGACCTGCATGTCCTGGCAGTGCTGAGAAGAGCTGATGTGTATGGATGGATGAGAGTGGGATGGAAGAGACATTTGCTTTGCAAAGACAGCACCACAGAAAGCTACAATATGAACAGAAGCTTCTAGATGGTTCTGCAATGCTTGGATCACTCTCATCTTAGCCCTGAACATCTCTGTCCACAAACCTCAGACTTTGCTTCAGTCATGCCAGCCTTTCCAGCCTTATCCCAACCTAACATACTTCCCTGTACTTGCAGCACTACCATCCCACACCATGACCTTCTGCATGTGCACTGCTAATGCAACCAGATGTTCTTCTGGGGTACAGCCCCTGGCACTTGGTGACATGCTTCTTCTAAATGATGGGCAGACTGCCACACTCAGGGCAGTTGTGAGCCCTCTCAGGGTCATCGTCCCTGGAGTTGTTCCAGAATCATGTGGATGTGGCACATGTGGACATGGTTAGTGGGCATGGTGGTGGTGGGTTGATGGTTGGACTAAGTGATCTTAGAGGTCTTTGCCAACTATAATGATTCTATGAATCTATAATTTAGCCTCCAGTAAAACTCTGCATATTTTTCCTTGTGGGTTTTTACCTTCTCTCCACACTTCCTCCAAGTGAAGGAGAAACAGCAGCTTTTCGATATGACACAACAAAAGCACGTTGATAAGGAAGAGGTGAATGTGGAGAAGGAGGAAAGAACTCAGAGAAAGGGAAGATTTTGAAGGAAATGAACGAGAGACAGAAAGGGCTGGGAGCAGAGAAAGTGAGATAAGGAGAGAAAGGGAGAAATCTACAGAGGGTTAAAAGGGAGTGAAGACAAAAGTAAAGGAGAGAACGTGGGAGGCAGGAGAGCTGTATGAGGGGCAGGGGATTAGCACAGGCTGGGGCTATTGGAGTGACAAACACAGATATTTTGGTGAGGAGAAGGTATTTCTTGTATTCCCATCACCAGTGGACACCAAGGAAGACATCTTGGTGTTCTTTTATTCTTTAATTCTGGAAAATATGGCTCTTTCCCCCAATTACTTTGATGTTTCTCATATAGATGCTACAGCTCTCAACCTGTCTCCTTCTACCACTCACTTTCCCTGAACCACAAAACCTGTCAATCTGTCACTTCTCCCATCTATCCACTTCCAAGCTGCCATTTCACTTTGCAAGCCACAGCAAAAAATGGAGATAAAATGCTGGGCCACTATCCTCCCTGAGCAGTCAACTACCTTCCCACCCACCAAGAACTCTGCCATCTGCCCCAGAGTCTCTCCATGCCACATCCCCAAAAAATAAAAACAGGACCCCAGCATGCCCCACACCTCCCACTTCCAAAGCCCTCTTGCTCCCATAAGTTATTCCCCCACCCCCGTTTCCCCCAGACAAGACGCACAGCTGAGACACAGCAACGAGAGAAAGGAAGATGACAGACAGTCCACTGTGCAAAATACAAATCGAGAATGAGGACAGTTTGGGAAGGGCAGAGAAGATGCCTTTGGTCCCCTCTGGCACACAGTTAGGCACACGCACACACACACACCCTCTCACACACACAGAAAATGCTCCACATGCTTCAGAGACAGACTCGTGGTAGAGCCAGGGGTAATAGGGGTGGGTTGTCGTATCCAGAGACACCAGGTGATGTCAAGGGTGTCATTCACAGGTTACTTTCATGGTTTTCTTCTGTCTCAGAGGTCATGGGGGGCAGCCCTCCATTGTCATTAAGCCTCTTGGCCCTATAGGTCTCATAGTGGATGTTGTGGGTCACTTCTTTCAGGTCCTGAAGGTGAGTCCTGTGTGGGACAAAGTGAAAGAGGATATGATAACCATCATCAGTGCTATCAGTGTTAGCTTTCTGTCTATCATTTTGTTCTCCAGTCAGTTCTCCAGTCAGTCTGGTTAACAAACTTACTCTCTTCCTATACAGGTGCCATAATGCAACAGAGAGATGGAATATCCGCATGCATAGGCAGGATGCAGGATATGGACTGCAGTCTCTCTCTGTCTGTGCCCCCTACCCTGTCACTAGGCAGCACCACTGAAAAGATGGTCTCAGATGGGATAGTGGATTCTTTATCACCACCTTCAATCCAAACCTATGTCAGCAACAACTAGAAGTTCTTGGAACCTAACGCAATTAAAAGGATTAAAGAAGGGTGCTATTACCCTGTGTTTCTTGATGTGTTCACATCATACATGAAAACCAAGACCTACTTGACATAGTGGTCAAGAGAGGCACTAGAGTATATACCCCTAAATTCAATCCAATCCTGCCCCACATAAGATTTTACTGCCTGTAAAGTGCTTTATCTTCCCTCCCATAAGGGCTATTTCACTCTAAGAGGGTCTCAGGAAGATTCCCTTCTCATCAAGAGATGAGAGTCATAGAATCATAGAATCACTCAGGCTGGAAAAAACCTCAAAGATCATCAAGTCCAACCGTGACTTAACCATACTACCCTAACAACCCTAAATCATGGGCATGACCGTGGCCTTACCTAATGACAAAATCTCGAAGCAGGGCAAATTCACAGTGAGTGAGGTTTTCCACTGAAAAGAAAGCAAGGAAATGTTACATTTGATTTTTAAGCAACCTGCTTGTGGTTACAGAGCATGGGATGGTCATTGCTATGGGACATGCATGTTTCAGGTGGCATGCTTCAGAAAGAATGGACAGTTGTGTGAACAGCAGACAAGCTCTCAGGCATTGAGCAGATATGCTGAGTGGTCACAGGTGGGTTTTCACTGGAAAACGAAGGAGATCAGCTTCACACACGCCATGTTGTTGAGGATGGTTCTGCCAGTTAGCAATAGTGGTACCATATTGACAATGGCAGTTCCCTCCAAGCAGAGCAATTTGAGAATTTTCTTGTTGCTCAGTTTCAAAAAACAAACAAACAAACAAACAAAACCTGCCACAAAGACAAAAGGCATAGGAAAGTAGCCACAGGAAGTGTTATCAGGACCCTGTTATTATCTCCCAAAAGCAAGAGTTTTCTTACCTTCAATGATTCCCCAAGGTGTTTTCCTGCCCAGGACTCTTTTGCCATTCACTTGGTACTCCTTGTCACTGCCCACTACCGCGAAGGGCATGCTTTCCTGCTGGGGAAAGACATGTGGAGACACCTATCAAACCTATTCCAGAGAGCAGCACCATCACTGTTCCTTAGCCACCTCTCCTCCTCGCACCTCACCAAATGCAAAGCCTTCTGCAAGGGAGAAGCCAAACTTCACTCCACAGCAAAACTTCACTCATCACTGCTATCCATAGCATTTTGGGCTCTTGTTTTACTGGTGTTCTTGCACCCCTGGGCTTAGTGTGTAGCTTACATCAATGCCAAAGGCTCCAGAGAAGGGAGTAAAGCTTTTCTGCACACATCTCCAGCATTTCTGAAGGGCAAGGTAATCAGAGAGGAGGTGCTTTGGCATACCAGATGAGTGTCTGTCATCCTGGGGCTCCTCACAGGAATACTTTGCAGAGAGGATTTTTCATCAAGTTTGCAGTTCTTCACTAGAAAATCCCCTCAACAGAACACATGAATATTCAAAGCTCAATTTCTGAAATGGTTGTATTGAGGAAGGCCAGAAGACCCTGGGAAGTGGGACAGTAGGTGAAACTATTGTGGATCAAGATATCTTTACGTACAGGGAGAAAGTTCCTGCTTCCAGAGAACAGACTGCGAGAGATTCTACTATCCATAAGGCTGTCTGGCTGTTCATAGATTTATTCTGCTTTGTAGACTTCCCTGGACCTGGGAAGGGATTGCAATTACCACAGGAGTGGGATATTTTATTCTTTATTATTATTTACTCTTTATTATTTAGTTTATTTCTTACATGTGAGACTACCAAACCCAGGGCAATTAGGCTGAAGTGGAGAACAAATTGTGGTGCCTTCCTCTCAAACAGTAACAGTTTGGAGGAGAAGCAAAACCCATCTGGTCTCCCCCAGAGCGTGTGATGTGTTGCCAAATGGGAAATGATTAATGAATCTGGGGGAGGTGGGAATTTCTGCTGGGGCTATGGCAGCTAGGAAGCTTGAAAGAGCAAGTGTCAGGTTGCCAGGAAATTAGTTACTGCTAGTTTCTTGACGACTAATGTGGAAGACAATATTTCCATGAATAGTTTAGCCTTAAAAATAATGAGTGGACGAACTAAATGCAGCAGCATCACAAAGCCAGGAGGTGTTGTCAGTACAGAGATAGACTGGGTTATTATCCAGGAAAATCTAAGTAAGTTTGAGGCACAAAGAATAGCTTTTAGGGAATAACACCAAGAAGTTCTGTTATGACTTTTGAGTTTGTGCACAAGCAATGACTGAAGGAGGGGAAGGACCCCATGCGCCAGTCAGTCACAAGATGACCACGAGTCACCAGTGTGATGTGATTGTTTAGAGAGCACGTGTTCAAGGGCTTAGCAGTTCAGATCTCAGAAAAGACAGAGGAGTATTGGGTACCCATATCAGTGCCAGAAAATCAAATCAAACTAGAGTAGGCACATTAAAAAGTGGTGATGGAATACGGGAGAATGGAAGCTCAACCAAAGGAGCTTGTCTCATTTAGCTGAGCAGAAGAAGGCCAGTGCAGGATAAGACTGCTCTCTAGCTGATGGGACCAGTAGGTAGGAGAAATGTTTGAGTCAGTGTTGGCACAAGAACACATATAATGCTGTGTACAACCTGGCCATGAACAAACACAGGCTGGAAATTAGATGGTTTCTACTTTTCTGAGGTAGGAAGAATGAGATATCCCTTCTCATAGGAATTGGCAGGGCAAAGCACTGAACTACTTTTCAGGTAGAGTTTGGCCTGAGCTCATGAGGAGGTTGTTTGGGACAGGGGATGAACTTGTCCTTTTTGTCCTTAGCAGAGGCCAAACAGCATTCAGCAAGAGGAGGTGAAATACAGTCCTTCCTCACTCAGCCTTCCTAGCACCCTGTGGACATGACAGGGACAAATTAAACTTGGAAGGATGAATGGTATTCTCTTGTGTCCATTGCACCTTTTGCTCAGGGACCACAAAGCACTTAAAACCTAGTGACGTGTCTGTTTCACTCATTAAATCTGACCAGCCCTCAACCACCCTTTCCCCTCCCACAGTAAAATGTTTCCTACCCTGATTTTGTCGTTTTCTGTTTTATCCTCCAAGTCCTCATCAAATTCTTTCTGGGGGTAAAACTCGATCCCATTCACTTCTAGCTCTTTGCGCACCTGGGCAGAGAGAAATTTTGGAGCACAAAGCAACACAACCCAAAAGGGAAGGCAGGCAGGATGGTTGGGCAGACATATCTGGGACATCTTTCTAGTGGGAAAGGGCTGGAAGGACTGTCCCCACTGAGGTGTGATGCAAAGCGAGGACACATGGCAACAGTGACAAGTCTTTCTTCCCCAGCCCCACCTGCTTGTTTGGCTCTGTAATTCCCATGACAGAACATATCATGGAATGTCAGAGGGATGCCCACTGTTCTTCTTCCTCTAACAGATGTGATATCAAAGCCATGGACAGCTGCATCTTCAGGGCAGTGCCAGGACTTATCCACCAATCCAGTGTTGGACTCTGAGAGCCCTGGGGACTGAACTGCAGTCCCAGAAGAAAGGATACGGCTCATCTTTCCCATCTCCCAGCCAGGGAAGGGAGGGATCCCATGCAGAAGGAGAAATACTCACTCTTTGTTTGAATTCGGTCTTCTCCTCCAAGGTCATGGTGTCAGCCTTGGCAATAACCGGGATGATGTTCACTACCTTGCTGAGATGTTTCATGAACTCCAGGTCCAAGGGCCGCAGGCTGCAGCCCAAGAAGGAACAACATGGAAGGGGTCACTTTATCTTCCTTGCCCTTCTAGTGACTCTCCCAGCATCAGGGCATTAGTGAGGCCTCCATGTTCCCATCCATCCTGCCCACTCCCAAAGAAAGCACAATAGTGTTTTTCCTGCCTTTGTCAGACCCTTTGCAAGCCCTGCAATGCCTAAAGTTAAGCTAATAGTATCCAGCCCAGCTGGTAGGAATCCTGGTCCTGTGACTGAGACTGAGCAGTACAGGGTGTATATCTGCCACATTGGCATGAAGGGGATGAGGAAGGACAGGGAACTGCATACGTACGAATGGCCCGTGGGGGAGATGAAGTAGAGACAGCAGTGCACTCGTGTGTCTGGAATTCGTTTCTTCCTTGCAATATTCACCTCCTCTTTCAAAAATTTTTCATATTGTTCGTTGATGTATTTCTCAATAGGCTCCCAGCTGTTAAGGTGGGAGAGAGACAGGTACAAATCTCCTTAGATTCCTGCCTACAGCGTTCCCAGCTCTGACAGCATTAAAGCAGACTCTGGCATTAAGGAAAAAAAAAAAAATCAACAAAAAACCAACCCACCACCAGCAGAGATGTTTAAGAGTTTTCCAACTGAGCAAACTGCTATGGAAGTCACCAGTTAAATCGGTGGAAGAGGAGAGAAAAGACCCGATGGTGCCATGGCAAGGGGCTGCTGGGGATCGGTCTCTGTGAGAAATCTTGGAAAAATTTGAATTGCCTTATTCTGGGCAGAACATCTCAATTTTCAGCTAAAGGAGCACATGTAGAATTCAGTGGAACTCGGTCTGAGAAGGGGATTACAGTTTTTTGCCTGGTTTCCTGGCAGTGAATTGGTCTGGCACTGGGGGTGAGGGGTTGAGAACAGAATGAGGGCAGGTGTTTCCTAGTGTTTGAGTGAGGGCAAGGTTTTTAAGGCATAGAAATAGGCATTCTCTATTTAATGTGCACACACCTCTGAGCGCACACATAAAGTTCTCAAAGTTCTGCATCCCAGTTACTGACCTCTGAGTGCAACAGGATCCCAGACACATTCCAATGGTAAGTAACTGAGCAACACTTCATGTATCAACATAACTGCAGCTCCTTATGGGACATGAAGGTCTTGATGAGGTAAAACTCACCAGTTCTCATTGTTGATCTGGTCTCCAAATCCCGGGGTGTCGATCACTGTCAGCTTCATTTTGACCCCGCCTTCTTCAATAACTGAGAAAGAAATTGCAAATTGTCATATGCCTCCCTGGGGACCTGCTCCATCATGACTCTCTGTGTCTTACAAGAGAACAAGAGTATCCTGCCCTCATCCCTGTGCAGTGGTATAGAGCGTTAAATGTCTGTAGATAGGAATCACAGTGGTTAATCCACACACACAGACCAGTGTCTTGGCAGGGGGAACACCTCTAACACTTTTTCTGCCTCTTGCTTTTGTCTATGACATCAGTGAAATGCACCACTGCATAAGAAAAACATTGGCTATGTCTGAGGTCACCTAGACCTGGCACTTCTCATTCAGCTTCCCATGGAGAAAGGGCTGCCTTACGGCAAAGTACTGGGTTCTTCTGCATGACCAGGCAGAAGCATCAGCCTTGCCTGCATTGCAGCAGCCTGGCTCTTACCGTGTCCAATGGCTTTGATCTCCACTGTCTTGGGGATCTTCTCCTCCCGATTCCAGCCTGAAGATTTGCGGCTCACTTGGGATTTGAAGAGGGTGTTCACCAGCGTAGACTTTCCCAGCCCGCTTTGACCTGAGAATTGCAAAGAGGAAGCTTATGACATCTGCCACAGCCCAGCAATGGCAGCAGACAGAGAGAACAGAGCCAGAATGAAGAAATGTTGTAGGTATCTCCCTGTGTTGCACAGGGTGTCATTTCAGGTTGGATAATAGGAAAATTTTTTTCTCTGAAAGAGTGGTGATGCATTGAAACAGACTGCCCAAGGACGTGGTGGAGTCACCATCACTGGAGGTGTTCAAGAGCTGTATGAATGTGGCACTGAGGGATGTGGTTGGTGGGCATGGTGTGGATGGGCTGATGGTTGGACTGGATGATCTTAGTCTTTTCCAACCTTAATGACTCTATGATTTTCCCAGAGTGAGTGAGCACTGTCTGATCCTTCATGCCCTCCCTTCAGGGCTTGCTCTCCCACCCAGCCTCATGGGAGAGCATCCAGGCATGGTTCCCAGTTTCTCCACCAATCCCTGCCTACCTACAACCATAATGTTGAAGTCGAAGCCTGTCTTCATGGTCTTCTTGCGCATCTGTTCAATGATGGTGTCAATACCAATGTAGCCCAGTAAGTTGGCATTAATGCCCACAGGTTTCATCGGCACAACTGGCTTTTGTCGTGACTCTGGAACTAGCTCAGACATGGCTGCTTCGTTTTTGTTCTCCACTGGTCCTGCACAGGGAGAAAGATTGAGAAATCATCACTCGGGTGTGATAAGGACCTCCCTGCTGCCCTGTGGAAGGTAGCTTTAAGTATCCATTTTAAGGGCTTCTGAGCATGACAAGACAGCAAGATTTTAGCAGTAAGACTCTTCATGGAGGAACATCCACTTGAGTTGCCAGCGTACTCTTCTACGTATCACTGTGGATGAGGAGTTGGACAAGCAGGGTTCCCTGAGCATAGAACATGTTGATCGCTATCTCCAAGCAGCAGCAGCACGCCTAGTGAAGTTGGCTGGGCTCCTAATCAGGGGCCAGAGCACCAGTGTGTGTCTCCTGCTTGATTTGCCTCACAGTTCTCACCAGGATCCGTAACCTCCACGCTTGCCTCCTGCCTGCAAATCAGTGTGGTTTGTCTTGCCTACCCATAAACTGTGTTTTGTCCTCCCTCCCCTCCCTGCTTCTTCCATGCAAAACAAACCAGCAGAGAGAAAGGCCCTGAGGGCTTCCTAGCCTTCCTGACTCTTTTTCCGGTGATGGCACACACAGCCTGGGACAGGCCTTGGCCATTCATCTCCATCTCTTGCCTCATTAATGAGCAGCTCCCACTCACCTCAGAAGGAAGCTGGAGGTTGGGAGAGGACAAGGCACAAAGGAAGCTGTTATTGGTGGGAAAGGGAGGCATGAGGGATCTGGACAGAAAAATGAAGGGGGGCTGGGAATCAAGTACCTTTCATATACAACCAGCTGCAAACTGGAGCTTCTCCCACTCTGATTACTATGCTTTATCTCATTAGATGGTTATTTTTCCCAGACAAAGACAGCATGCTCTTTTGCTTGGTAAGCACTCCTCTTATTTTGGATGCTACTTCCATACAACTATCTCACACTAAATTATCCCTTTCCATCATTTCAGCAGAGTTTGTTTTTGCTCCTCTCAGCAGATCCCACCGGGTGCAGAAGAGCAAGCAAGTGGCCAGGCAGGTGACTGCCATTTTGGGGTCACATGGATTGGGGTCACTGACAGCACCAGGGAGAGCTCAGCTAGAATATGCCAGGGGCTGGGGAGATTAGGGAGATTTTGTTCATGGATAGGTGGTCCTGAAGGTCTCAGCCTTGAGCCAGCTCTGCTGGAGGATGCCCCTGCCTCTTCTCCCCACAGAACAGCACCTAGGGGCACCAGGGCACAAGAGAGAGTGCTGGGAATACTTGAGAGTGCTTGGGAATACTCCACACTGCTGGCGGAGGCAGTCTGCCTATCTGAGCACTTCTCACAACCCTCTACTCCAGCCGTCACAGCTCACCTGTGCTCTCCTGCTGACAGAGCCTCCCCTCAGGCTCCCCGTGTCTTTTTCCAACTTTCTCAAAGCTGCTGCCAGCCAGAAAACCCTACTGCATGGAGAGATGAGTCATCCAGCTCTTCTCTACCCTACCCTTCACTTGTCCTCTCCTGTCTGTCCTGTACCACCTGTACTATCCTCACATGGCTGGGCCATGCCCCAAATCTTGCAGTGCCCAGATACAGCTTTGCTCAGTATCTTTTCAATGCTGGGATAACTATGGAGGGGACTGAAGGCAGAGGGGAAGCAGAGCCATCACTTGTTGTTCCTGGGCATAAGCTGCCAAATTCTGCCAGAGCAGCCTGCATTGGGGTCCCACCTATCCCAGAGTTGGGAGAAGGCAGAGAGGGTTGAGATAGAAGGAGGGAGCTGGCAGCCACCATCAGGGCTCACTATAAGGCTGATAACTCATACCTCAATCTTGCTGCACTGAGGGACACTTTGACCACAGCTGTTGCTGACTGCTGTGGATACTGCAATACTCGGCCATCCCTAGGTAGCCTTCACTGCTTGAGTGGCTGGAGCACATATTTCCAAGTCAGGTCCCAACAGTCCAAGCACCTATAAAAAGCCCAGGGATCAGGAAAAAAAAACCTCCAGAAGTCTTCTTAAATAATTCCTGGACTGTTTATCAGTGGTGTGGGTCTGGGAATTCTGATTTCAGGGTCAGAAAGCCCCAGGGTAGAGAATACCCCTTTTCTCTCAGTCACTTGCCTTTTCTTCCACGTAGGGTGCTTCCCACACAGTCTCTAAATGGGAGCCTGCATTTTACAACAGGATACCTGAGGGCTTTGTGCTATGATTTTCCATCTCTTGGCTCCTATGGAGGAATCCAAGGAGACAACTGAGGGCCAGCCAGCAGGAGGTCAGGACACGCAGGACCGGAGCCAGAGCTGTGGGGCACCTCGAGCCATGAAACATGCCTGCCTTGTCCCCTGGAGATAGCTCTGCTTTAGGAGCTGTAATGCTAATGCTGCTGCTAAGCTTCATTACAACTCTGACTGAATGGTCAAGGGTAGCATTATGCATCCCAGGCACATCCCATAGTCCTGCTGACCATTCCCTCCAATGTATCCATTGACAGAGAGCTATGGTCAGTGCAGCTGTGATGAAAAGAGGGTTAGCCAAGGTTAACCACTCGCATCCGCTGTTTGCATTACCACCCATTTCCTTGCTGCTTTGTTCTGTGTGCTAAGCAGAGCTAATTTAAGAGGGCGGCTGTGGTGATGGGCTCCCTGGTTGCAGGCAGAGCTGCGCACCTGGAGTCAGGGCTTGCAGGGAGAAGAACAGCTGTGGGTGCCCAGGGAGGCCCCAGTCGGTTCTGCCAAGCCACCCCAAAACATCTCCCTGAAGGCCACAGCCAGCAAGAGTCACCACTACTGCACAACATCCGCGACAGAAATGGCCCTGCAGACCAGCTGTGGGTTCAGACACTGGGACCTCCATCCACGACGTCCTGTGGCAGAGCAGCCCCGATAACCTACATACAGCCTTATCCCCTCCCCCTGCCTTCCCGTCCTTTGTCTGAGTGGCATGAGGGAGGGGGGGCTGCAAGGAGGCAGCCACCACCACAACCTAGCTCCCAGCTCGGGAAAGCTGCTTCACTCCCACGCATCCACGGCCTCACTGCAGCTCTCCTGCCCTGACTGGAGACACTGACCCTGGTGTGTCACTCTCCTTTGTCACACGTATGGCTCAAGACCTGTGTCCCTGCTCCCCAGACTGAGCATCACAGGGTTTTCAAGCCGGGCAGGGGAACCTATCCCAGCCTTTTGAGCTGCCGCAGCCTTGCTGGCAGCAGCCTTCCTTCATGTGCCCTCACTGCTCTGCAGAGGGCTTTGGCTGCAGCCAAATCTAGGGCAGCATGTGCTGAAGCCTCTCCAGAGATGCACAAGCTGGCATATCCTCAGTGTACCCCAAGGTGAGGAAATGCTGAGCATCCCAGGACCGGGGCATCCACCCCACCATAGCCGCCTATCCCCAGCCCACCCACCAGCTCCCACACAGGTGCCCGGGGAGCAGCACAGAACATCCCCACTGCCCCGGCAACGACCAGGGACAAGGCAGAGACAGAGCAGCTCATGGGCTTTCCCGGCTCTGGACCAGCTGGGATTATCTCTGTCTTTCAGAGCAGCCCCTGGTGACAGCTACTCTGCATCAGCACCACAACCGCCAAGCCCACTCCTGCTCCTTCGGTGCTACCATTGAAAGATGAGAAGGAAAAATACGAAGCTGGTTCCCCCCACTGCCTTATGGAGATACTGATCCCCAGCAGTGCGGGGGCACGAGAAGCCTGAGTGTCCCTCCGGTATCGCCCAGCCCCGCCAGCCCGCAGCATCCTACCTTTGAACATGAAGCTTCCTTTGTCTGCGAACACTCTCCCCAGGGGGTGGCTCTGCCCCCACTGTCCTAAGCTTGACGCCGGCGCAGCACCGTGGGCTACAACACTCCGCTTTTACCTCTCTCTTTCTTTCCTGTCCTCTTCTACCCTCTCTCCTTCCCCTCCTTCTCCAGTGGCTATTTCAGCTGAGCGGAGATGCTGGTGCTGCTCCTGCTGCCACTGTCATGTGACCTGAATATTAAACATCGCTGCAAAATCCCCCCCGCCCGCGCTCCCTCCCGAGCTCCATTCCTGCTCCCCACAGGGTGGGCACGGCAGCGGGGATGGAGGAGAACCACAGATGGGCTCCATGCACCATGAGGGGGCCTTCGCGCAGCCACCCACCCCCAGCCCCCCCACATCACCTTCTCCCTCCTGAGCATCCCTGAGTTTAGCTGCCTGTTTGCTGAGGGGGTATTTAACCCTTTGTGGCTGAGAAACCATGCTCCCCGCTTGGATATTTCTTTATTTTGGGGGACCTCAGGGCCTCACAGAGAAGGGAAATTGGGAATTGTGAACAGCTCATTAAGACCCATTTGCCCTTCAGCTCTGCTTGCGGAGGCGTGAGAAACCTCTCCTGCTTTGGCACTGCAATTGCTGGCTGCCTGCCCCCATTGCAGAGACACAGCTGCCCCCTGTTCGTGTGTGTGTGTGTGTACATGTATGCACAAGGTGCTGCTGGTTGTGTCTGGGAGCCGTGTGGGTCATTCAGCTGCTTCAGAGCAGGATGCCCTTTCCCTCTGTGTTTCCTCCCCCAAGGTCCCCACCACGTGCTGTGGCCACCCCGAGCTGTGCCTGGGCACCAACATTTTGGCAGGGTGATGCCAGCACCCAGCTCTGAGGGGCGGTGGCATTCCCCACAAGCATGCCCAGTACAGCTGCCTTGGGACAGACGCACAGACAGACAGACAAGGTTCCCCTCCAAACACCCCCCACACCTGGCTCTCCACTGCCCCTCAGCTCTACCAGGGTGAGGGGGAAACCCCCCACATCCTGCACTGCCCCACACAGCATCCCTGATGCCCCTCAGCCCACCTTGCGGTGCACACCTACCAGTGCGTGGATCCCCGGTGCCCGACATCTTCTCCACTGGTGTGACCTCAGCTGCTCCACGTCCTGACACGAGCCGTGGGCATGGGGCCACGGGGGTGACGGGGGCTGGGGCTCGTGGCCGATGCCAGGGAGCTCCCCCGGCCCCCTGCCGCAGAGTGACCCAGAGGCAGCTCCGCTGGGTGGGAGCACTGGGAAGGCCGGCCTGCCGCGGCATGGGGTATGGGATGCGGCTGGGGCCAGCCAGCCTGGAGGCGGGAGGGCAGAGGGCTGAGGCGATGTCCTCCTCCATGTTGGGCTGTAGGTGGAGGCGTGAAGATGTGGGTCAGCTGGGCCCAGCAGGGTGAGGCAGATGGGGTCCCAACCCCAATCTGCCACAGGGCTGAGGGCAGCTGAGCCCTCTCCACCGAATGGCCACTGTCGTCCCAGGCGGTCTGATCACCCGCCTCCAGTCACCACAATGGGCTGCTTGTGGACTGCCCAAGGTGCCCCCACACACGCTGTCCGGCTGCTCCCACCCCCGTCATTCCCAGAGGCACTGCAGTCAGGCCATGCTATGGGGCAGCCCCACACACAGCCCCATGTCCTCCTTGGCGGTGCCTCTGTGCTTTTGGGCCACGGGTGGCAGGTTGGCTCTCAAGCAAAGTGAGCACAATTTACAAAAGATAGCAAAACACTTTGAATTTTTGAAATGTTTTCCCTTTGTATCTCTCTCTCTCTCTCTTTTTTTTTTTTTTAAATTTTCAAATGGCAAATTCCTTTTTAACAATGTCTGCCCCCAGCAAGGAAGCAAATGATGCGCAAATGCTCCACCGCCTTCATGTGGCCTTGGCCAAAGACATGGACGGGGTTGGTGGTGTCCCTGTGGCAGGAAATGAAGGATGGGCTGAGGCTGAGAGGCACCATCACCCCATGGAAAGGGGCTTGGGCAGTGCACTCACTGCAACTGAAAGCCTCTCTACAACAGCCTGAAAGGAGGTTGTGGTGAGATGGGGGTTGGCCTCTACTTCCAGGTAGCAGTGACAGGATGAGAGGTGATGGTCTCAAGTTGTGCCAGGAGAGGTTGGATATGTGTTGGGGATGGGCACTTAATAATCTTAGAAATATTTTCTAACCTTAATGATTCTATGATTTCTATACAATTGCACAGCAAAAGGGAATGAAATGTTTGAGAAGAGCAACTTAATGCTGCCCAGTGTTTTCCAGCACTAAGTGTCTTCTCCAGTGCTTTATGCACTTAATTCAGTATCTGAGACTTCCCCTCTGCCTCAGATTCTCTGCACAGCTCTCACTGAGCAGACAGTCTCAGCTTTCAGCCAGCATTTGCCTTTGGCTTAATTGTTCCCAGACACCCCTCCTTCATGCCCTGAGCAGAAACCCTGCCAATGCAGAGCTGCTGGGCTCTCAAGGAACCAAACTGAGTGCTCCTGGCTCGACGCAGCTCCCAGGGGGAACAGCAGGGAAACAAAACAGTGGGCACACAGTTTGCACACACCTTTATTCTGCTGTGGACTCTATTGACAATAGTACTTAGTGAGCTGTGGAGAGATCATGGCATGGAGCAGGGCAGTGGGCCGGGGCAGGAATGTGGTTGATAAAACTGAGGATGGCACTTGGTACCATGCAGTGCATTCTTTCCCAGCCCCAAGAAACCAAGGCACAACAAACATGGAATGCACCTATGTGAGGCTGCACCTGTGTTTTGAGCCTTTGCTCAGCACAATGAGCACAAATTTTGGCACATGAATAAACCTGCTGGCTCCATTTCCTTGCTGAGAGAGGCTACCCAGCCAGGGGACTCACATCAATACCCCCAGTGCTTGTCTGAATTGAATGGGTCTCAGCTACTCTGGCTTGGAATGGAGACTAATAGCTCCTGCCAGGGTACCCAGTGTTGGTGAGGAAGGTAATAGTGGTACTACTCCAGTCTGGGAGGATGAAACATGCCAGAAAGACCTCAGATATTTACAGGATGCCCTGACCCATTCCTTCCTGAGCCAAAACCCCCAGAGCTAAAAATTGCCTTATACCCCCAGAGAATTACAAAGGGCATATTGCTCACTCACACCAGCCCAATGCTTGAGACCTGTGTTGATTCAAGGAGCCAGACAGAGGGGACATGTGTTGCCCCTTCTCAGAGACATGTGGGTGAAGGGATGGCTGAACTTGTGCTGAAATGACAGCCAAGCGACAGCAGCACAGAGCTGGAGACTATCCGCACTGAAGAAGGCAGCTCACAGAGATGTGTCCTGTCTCATGCAGTGACAGAGAGCAGAAGGGTGGGCAAATGGGAGAGGGCTACGTGACAGATCTGGAGAGCTGCAGAGCAGCACTGCATGACGCAGGACTTGGATGAACCTCTTCAGAAACAATGTTCAACGCAAAGGTAGAGCTCCTGAAAACATCAGTCTGTGAGCACCAGGCTCTGAAGTTCTCCATCTCCAAAACCCCAACAGAAAAAGAAAGAGCAGAGCATCTTCAATAGAGTTGGTCTCAGGATCTTGCTGAACTCTTATTTGGCAGAGCTTCACTTATCCTGTTACCCCTGCAGAGACCTCCTGGGGTGGTGCTAAGAAGCCAGGCAGCTCCAGCTCAGGTGACAAATATGGGACCCTTTGTGTGAATGGCTCCAAGAAGTGACATCATCCCTGGGGAAGAGCAAAAACTCTTGGCTGGAAGATGGTCTGCGAGCTCATGGAAAGCTCTGAGCCTGCCATGCTGTACAGACCTGAGGAGCGTAGGGTCAGAGGGTGAGTGGCAAGCAGGAGACCCAAATCAGCAGAGCATGAGTGCCATCCCACCACCTCTGGCCTTCCTACCTGGCAGGCACATCAGACCTCAGGCACCCCAAAGGCCAGGTTGTCCCGAATCATCAGCGTCTTCCGAAGATCTCGTTCCATGATCGGCCTCTGCGTTCGCCACTTGTGGGCTTCCTGGAGGCCAGGCTCAAAGTAGTAAATACAGGCTCCAAAGCCCACCAGGATGAGGATGGAGATCATCAGATACACAGGCACAAACCAGTCCAAGAAGTGCGGCATGGCTGCTGGAGAAAAGGGAAGACAGCTTGTGGAGCACCCGGAAAGCAGCTCCGCCACAAGCAATGCATCCCACCGCACCTCCTACCTCCCACTTCATGCTCCATGTGATGCTGCAAGAGTTTGCCCAGAGAAGCTGTGAATGAAGGGGCTTGGAACAAGATGGGCTTCGAGGTCCCTTCCAACCCAAACCTTTGTATGGTTCTATGATTCTCTGATTCCATCATGTGCTTCGGCCTCATTTTGGTTCCCTTGGGACCTTTTGTTTGTGGGCTTTTTTTTTTCTTTTTTTTTTCTTTTTTTTTTCTTTTTTTTTAATACCACAGCAATCAATTGATTGAAACGCACCCAGAAGCATTCATATGCTGAGTGGCACTGGCAGCAAAAATCCCCATCCCTGCTCCCAGGCCTCCAGCAGGAAGCATGTGAACATGACTTCTATTTCTGCCCTCTGATGAACATTTTTGTAGCACAGGGTTAGATCTGAAATGAGCTGCAAATCTTGCTAACATAAGCAAGAAATTGCCAGCATCAGAGGGAAAAAAAAAACCTATTCCCTCCCACCTATTGGCATAGATTCTGGATATGTATCTGTACTGCTATGATGGCAGAGGAGAGCTTAGCAGGTTTTGGTTCCTCATATCATACTCTTTTGCTTTCAGAGTATTTTGCTTTGCCCCCCATTTTGCTGCCATCTCTGAGTCCTTGAGCGTTTATCCCAGTTTCCTTCCACTGTCGTCTGCTTTCAAGTGCTGAAAAGAGGGACTTTCATTTGAGAAGATGTCACCTTACTGGAGCAGCTCTGCAGATTTTAAATGTGCTTTAACCCTCGTAGGACCAGTGCATCTTAGCATCTCTGTGGGGCATCCACAGCCTCTCAAAGACACAGCGCCACAGTTGCCACAGCTCTGGGGGGCTCTCTGCAAGCAGTGGCATGGAAAGGGGTCTGCAAGAGATGGGACACGCAGCGGTGCCGAAGCGATGCCCACGCAGAAGAGATGTGCCTTCCTGCACGCAGGCGATGGGGGCACAAATGGGCAGCAGTGGGCTCACCCCTTTGCACGACACCCCCCCCCCCCAGCCCAGAGGTGGGTACCCCGTTCCCATGCATCGCCCACCCCACCCCCCCCTCCATCCTCCGCCCCTTACCTCCTCCCTCGGCCGCTGGCGGCGGGATAGGGCCGCTCCCGCCGGGATGAACGGGGCCGCTCTTCGCGCTGCCTCTGCCGGTGCCGGTGCGAAACGGAGCGCGGGGCGGCAGCGGGAGGCGGGGACAGCGGCAGCCTCCTCCCGCGGGGCACCCGGGGCTCCCCCGG